TGATGCTTTTGAGTTGTGGTGCTGGCGAAGAATGCTGAAAGTACCATGGACTGCTAAAAGAACTAACAGATCTGTCCTGGAGGAAGTGCAGCCGACATACTCCTTGGAAGCAAGAATGGCCAGACTTTGTCTCACCTACTTTGGTCACGTTGTCAGAAGGGACCATTCCTTGAGGAAGGATGTCATGCTTGGTAAGGTCAACGAGGCAGGGGAAGGCCCTCAACAAGATGGATTGACACAGTGGCTGCGGTGATGGGCTCGAGTATAGCAAGGATCATGGAGCTGGCGCAGGATTGGGCAGTGTTTTGTTCTGCTGTTCATATGAAATGATACATAAAATTAAAGAAGATAAAAAACCAAATGCACTGTCGTCGAGTCGGATGCAACTCATAGCAACCCCTCTCCTTGGGTTTCTGAGGTGGTATCACTACAGAGGTAGATTGCCCCCCCTTTCTTCTGAGGAGTGGCTGGTGGGTTTGAACCGCCAGCCTTCTGGTTAGCAGTCAGTCAGATGCCTTAAGCACTATGCCACCAGAGCTCCTAATATTGAAAATAGTGTTTTCAAATTATACTTTCAGATATCCTACAACCTTCTTTTTCTCTCCATTCTCTTTGAGGATAACTGATTTATTTCAAGACTAAGAAGTTACTCTCCCTACACAGTCTTCTATCTTAATGAACATTTCATGTAACCTACTGTCTTTTTTTCCTCTTCCTCTCTGTTATCCAGATCTTTTGTTCCCTTCAAAAGATTCAACCCAAATAAGCTGTTTTAGTGATCCAGCAAGTATATTAATTTTTGGATCATTGTGTTTTTCTAATGTTTGGCTCTTGTGCCCCTTTATTATCCATCTTCCCTCATGATGACTTAAATTTTCCTCCTTACTTTAGACGAAGGCATGCAATCCACAGTAGTGACTCTACTTCATCTTCCTCTTCTGAAGATGAACAACAATTTGAAAGGCGAAGGAAAAGAAGCCGTAATAGAGCTATGAGCAGGTAAGTGCCATATCAGTGCCTTTCTGAACTAACACAAACCAAAAACCAAACTTACTGCTGTCGAGTCGAATGAGACTCATAGCAACCCCTACCCTTGGGTTTCTGAGGCAGTATCACTACGGAAGTAGATTGTTCAACCTTCCTTCTGAGGAGTAGCTGGTGAGTTTGAACTGCAAGCCTTCTGGTTAGCAGTCACATGCCTTAGGCACTATGCTACCAGAGCTCCCTTTAAACTAATAGACATCTTTTTTTAAGTGGTAAGAAAGTTAGATAATTTAGGAATGTGTACAGTTTGGCTGATTAAAAAATTATGCAAGAGTGCTCCTGGACAGGAAGATTGAACATTGTGAAAATGTCAATACTACCCAAAGCAATCTATGCATTCAGTGCAAATCCCAATCCAGGTTCCATCAACATCCTTTAAAGATATGGAAAAAAAAATCACTAATTTTATATGGAAAGGAAAGGGACCTCAGATAAGCAAAGCACAAAAGAAGAACAAAGTAGGAGGTCTCACACTCTCAGATCTCAAAACCTACTATATAGCCATAGTTGTCAAGACAACCTGGTGTTGGTACAACAACAAACACATAGACCAGTGGAACAGAACTGAGAACCCAGAAATAGATCCATTGATCCATGGTCAGCTGGTCTTTGACAAAGGGCCGAAATCTATTAAATGGGGAAGAGAGAGCCTCTTTCACAAATAGTGCTGGCAAAACTGGATATCAATATACAGAAAAATGAAACAAAATCCATACCTTGCACCATACACAAAAACTAACTCCAGATGGATCAAAGACTTAAATATGAAACCTAAAACTATAAAGTTCATGAAAGAAAAAATAGAAGCAAATTTAGAGGCTCTAATTTATGGCATAAACAGATTATCAAGCATAACCCAAGATGCACAAGCAACAGAAGATGAACTAGATGATTGGGACCTTCTAAAAATTAAATTCTTACGTGGATCAAAAGGCTTCTCCAAAAGAGTAAAGAGAGAACCTACAGATTGGGAAAAAATACTCAGCAGTGACATAAGACAAAGGACTTATCGCTAAAATTTATAGAAAATTACAACACCTCAACATCAAAAAAACAAAGAATCCAATTAAAAAATAGCAGACACTTCATCAAAGAAGATATTCAGGCAACCAACAAACACATGAAGAAATGTTCACGATCATTAGCCATTACTCACTGCCATCAAGTTGGATCTGACTCATATCGACCCCTCCTTGGGTTTCCGAGGCAGTATCACTATGGAAGTAGATTGTCCAGCCTTCCTTCCAAGGAGTGGCTGGTGGGTTTGAACCACCAGCCTTCTGATTAGCAGTCAAGTGCCTTATGCACTATCAAAACAACAATGAGATACCATGTTGCTCCAGCGTTAATAGCAAAGTTCAACAAGACAAAAAATAACAAATGCTGATGAGGATGTGGAGAGATTGGTACTCTCGTACACTGCTGGTGGGACTATAAAATGATACAACCACTGTGGAAATTGGTACGGCGATTCCTTAAAAAGTTAGAAATAGTATTTAATCCAGCAATCCCATTGCTAGGTATATATCCTAAAGAAGTGAGAGACAGGGCATGAATAGATACATGCACACCCATGTTCACTGCAGCACTATTCACAATAGCAAAGAATGGAAACAACTTAAGTGCCCATCAATGGATGAATGGATAACCAAACTATGGTACATATACACAATGGAATACCATGTAATACTAAAGAATAATGAAGGATTGGCAAAAAAAACCTAATAACATGGATGAACTTGGAGGACATTATGCTGAGTGAAATAAATATCACAGAAGGGCAAATATTCTATGAGTCCACTATTAAAAAAGCAAAGGAAAGTTTGGTACATGGAAGGAAACTTTCTTTGCTGGTTATTAGGGATGGGGGTGAGGGGTGAGAAAATTCCTAGATAGGCTAGAAAAAATAGAAGCCAAAGATTATTAGTGGTTACTAACAAATTGTGTCCAGTAGACACAATTATGATAATAGGTAGAGGCATTGTGAATTCTCCACTATGGATTACTTCATATGTAACACTCTAGGCCTCAGTTCCCTCCTCTGTAAATAAAATAAGGACACTGAAACATGTACATTTCAAGATTGCTTTATTTGAAATTAAAAAAATTCAATTTCTAAGAAAAATGTCCATAATCTAGCATACAATTTGGGGAAGGTGGAGGAATAGATTTTTTAAAAAATCTTTTTCAACAGGTTCCTCCCACTCAATTTTCGGAAAGATGAATTAAAAGGAATTTATAAAGATCGAATGAAAATTGGAGCAAGCCTTGCTGATGTTGATCCGATGCAGCTAGATTCTTCAGTGAGTACTATGTTTTGAGATGTACGCTTGAACTGTAATATTGATCATTTGCTTTAGTTAGTTTTGAAATTAAAAGGAAACCAGATATGGTGTGTTTGGTTGTAGTTTAATCTGAAACTGAACCTTTACAAGACTTTTTTCCTTTTTTCCTCAGGCCACAGCTAAGATACTATTACTTAGTTGACTGTATATGGATTATGTATAATTCGGTAGCAGGTGACATTTTAATTTTGATTTCGTATTCAATAATGTCAATATTTCCCTTCTATTACCAGATACGATTTGATAGTGTTGGTGGCCTATCTAATCATATCGCAGCTCTAAAAGAGATGGTGGTTTTTCCATTACTTTACCCAGAAGTCTTTGAAAAGTTCAAAATTCAACCTCCAAGGTAATTTAATTATAGTTTTCACTTAACCAAAATCTGCTATACTGCTTTTGTGTAGAAAGAAAATGCTTCTCTGTTGAAATTTTTCAGATCTATGGTGATTTAATTTACATTTTTTTATGAAAAGTCCTGGGCGCTTTGGATATTTTAACTTTTTCAGTATTTAACACAAAAAATATTTTTAAAAAATCATTCTCCATGACTTTTCATACATCTAATGCAATTCCTCCTACACACGCTCTAGTTTTTCTTTCATTTTTAAAATCTAGTTTTAAATTTATATCAAAGTAACAGTGTAAAAAGTCAAATAGTACTGTAAGTCATATAAAGAAAAATGGTAGTTGCCCCTTTTCTACCCTTCCTCATCCCCAGATCCCACTTTGCAGAGCTCACCCTCCCTCCACTCCTTTAGTTGTTAAATATTTATCTCACCCACTGCCATTGAGTCAATTTGAACTCATAGTGACACCCCTAGGGTTTCCAAGGCTGTAAGTCTTTACTGAAGTAGATTGCCTCATCTTCCTCCCACAGAGCAACTGGTGGGTTTGAACTGCCACCTTCTGGTTAGCAGCCAAATGCCTTACCCACCGCACCACCAGAGTGGACTTTTCCATTTTTAGACATAACAATAGACTTTAACTCTGAGCATTGAGTATTTGGCTCTCTTACTTTCCCCACTGTCCATATACACAGGTTTTTTACTTTCCTCCTCAGCTCCCAGGAGTTACACAGTTGTTGAGTTAAGTCAGTTTGCAGTGCATTATGATTATGTAAGTTTGCTCACAGTTGAGCCACGTGTGGTATATTATGACCATATTTCCTTGTACAAGTCTCCTCTTCCCCCACGTTGTTATCTGCTTGTTTTGTTTTTGTGCTTAGTTTTACATGTACTTGTCATCGATTCATCCACAAAGTCTTCACCAGAGCTGTAGAACATTTCTCAGCAGTCAGACATATCATGTAACCTATTTTAAGATGCATCCTTCTTGGAGCCTCTTTTCTGCTTCACTCTGGATTGCTAGTTCTTAATTCCATAGCACAGCTCAGCCTTGCACCTTCCAATCACCGTCGTGACAGGGATTTCCTTCCATTTTTGTTTCAGCGATGAGTTCCCTGTTTCCCAGATTCACTAAGGCTTGCTGGGTTTGTAGATGTGTTTTGGTGAAGCACATTCTCTAGGAGTATCTTATTTGAGGTGATATCAAGCTTTTGGAAATGGATAGTGGTAATGGTGGCACAACATGGAGACTGTAATGTCAGTGAAGTGTACACTTACAAATGACTAAAACAGCACACTTCTGTTTCTATGCATTTTCCTCTTCTAGATGATTCATACAATATTTGTGCCTGCTTATTACTTCACTCTGCATAATGTTTTTAGGATCATCCATCTCATAGAGTGTATCAGAATTTTGTTTTTATGGCTTTCTTTTCCATTGTACATAAATACCACATTTTGTGTATTCATTCATCTATTGATGGACCCTTGGGCTCTTTCCACCTTTTGGCTGTTACGAATAGTGCTGCAGTGAGCATTGGTATACACGATGTGTTTGAGTTCCTGCTTCCAAGTCTCTGGGTATATGGGTAGGAGTGGAATTGTTGGATCATGTAGTAGCTCTAGGTTTACTTTTTGAGGAACCACCAAACTTTTCCAAAGTGGCTGCACCATTTTACAATCCATCATCAATGTTCCAGTTTCTCCACATTCTCGCCAACATGTTGGTTTTCACTTTTCCTGCTAATAGCCATCCTAATGCATGTGAAATGGTATCTCGTGGTTTTGATTTGCATTTCTCTAATGACTAATGATCTTAAGCATCTTTTCATATGCTTATTGACCATTCGTAAATCTATTCAAGCCCTTTGCCCATTTATAGATTATATTGTTTATCTTCTTGTTTTTGAGTTGTAGGAGTTCTGTATATATCCTGGATATTAAAATCTTGATCAGAGTCCCAAGTATTTTCTCTCATGTAGATTATCTCTTTCTTACTGAAGTCCTTTGATGTGCCAGAATTTCCATTTTGATGACGTCCAATTTTATTAACCCATTTTCAAACCCTAACCCTGATTCCTTTTTGTTACACAGCTTTTCTCCCTGAATCACCAGCATGGAATCGTGGTGATTACGTGAACCTTTTAAAATTGTTGTTGTTGTTGTTATGTGCCGTCGAGTCGGCCCCGACTCATAGCGACCCCTCCTTGGGTTTCCGAGGCAGTATCACTACGGAAGTAGGATTGCCCAACCTTCCTTCCGAGGAGTGGCTGGTGGGTTTGAACCGCCAGCCTTCTGGTTAGCAGTCAAGTGCTTTTAGCCACTATGCTACCAGAGCTCCTCTTTTAAAATTAGTGAGCCTTTTTCTTTTCTGTTACCAAGTAATATGGCATAAATCACTCACAGTGAAATTGGTGAATTTCAAGGAGATTTTATAATGTAAAAAGTCACAAAGGTACCAATATTAAATAATAGCATTTCTTACAGGAAATGATGGATGCATCTAATTAAAGTAATTTGGTGACTTTTAAAAAGGAACAGCATAGCCCTTGACTTTTTTCCTCTACATTTTCTCTTTCCTTACAATATGCATTTTCCTCCATACAAATTAAATTATATGATTGTGTTAATCTACTCTGTTCTTGTGGTTTGTTACCTTTTCCATGTCAATAGCTAAATAGTATTCCATTGTGTGGCTGTATCACATTTTAACTGATTCTGCCATTTTTGGCTATTTAGTTTTCTTCTCAGTTTTCATTATTACAAATGTCAGTTTCATGAACATTACATTGTTTCCTCTGTGTAAGTGTTTAATTTCTTCTTGAGATATTCTTGAGGCTTAGAAATAAAATTGTTGGCTCAAAAGTTACCTTTGAGGGACATCAAGCTCAATTGGCATAACATACTATACAAAACATTGTTCCACCTACTACTTTGGCGAGTAGCGACTGGGACCTTAAAAGCTAGGAAGCTGCCATCTAGATGCAACAACAGGTCTCTCCTCGTCAAGAAGAAAGAAGAAAACCAAAATTAATGGAAACAATCAGTCCTAGCGACTGGTACACCATCCGATCTGCAACCTATACAACTATGAGACCAGAAGAACTAGATGGTGCCCAGCTACCTCTGCCATCCACTTGGAAGGGATGTAGGAGATCCTACATAAAGAGGGAGAACAATGTGGTACAAAACTCAAAATCGTTTGGAGGCAAAAAAAAAAAGAAGGTGGGGACCAGGTTTGCTGGTCCAATGGAGCCTGGTGTAACCACTGAGACTATGGCCCCTAGTTGCCCTTCAGGTCTGGAATTGAACCCACAACTGTGGTTTCCAGCCAAACAAAGTACAGGCATGTGAGTTAAACATTTACCTCAAGTAGACACACGCCCTGGAGAGAACAATCATGGGAGAAGGAAGGGCTGCTTATGCACAGGGAGATAGCTCAGGGTGCAGAAGAGTATGAAGGGATGGACACTGGGAGGAGGTAACTATGGGGAGGAAGTGGGAGGGGAGCTGCTGCATTGTAAATTTTGGTCAGTGACATGAGACAAAGTATATGTGAACTGCTGTATGAAAAGTGAATTTACTCTGTAAATCTTCACCCAAATCCTAAAAAAAAAAAAAAAAAAGTTACCTTTGAAAATTCTGCATCTTGGCATCTATACTTTGAGGTAGAGATAGGTTATTCTATTCATTGGGCTGATTGTTTCCTTTTCTTAACAGTTTCCTTGTCTTTTCCCTTCTGGATTTGATTATGTCCGTTTCTTGTCATTTTTTTTGGTTTTATTCCTTAATACATTTGTGATTATGTTTTCTTCCATTAGGTTCTCTCTCTCTCTCTCTCTCTTTTTTTTTAACATACTCTGTTTTCTCTCCTCTTCATTCCCAATGTGTTTTCTTGGTAACCTTTGGGTGTTATGTTACTGACCCCGAGATTGAAGATTCTGGATGGAATCTGCGGTGCTTCCCCATTACCTGTCATAAAATTAATTACCAGGTTCTTTTAAGCATGATGGGTATGCAAGGTAATTTGATCAACAAATAAAAGAAAATCTATTCCAAATAAAAGGTTTTCTTTATAGCTTTAATAGTAATTCCTGGGTTTTAAAGTATGTTTTGTGGGTTGAAACTATATTTCAGTTGTCTTACTTCTTTCTACTATTTAAGTGAATTTATGAAATTGGTTCCTAATTTTGTTTTATATTTTGCTTAAACATCTGCTTTTTAATGTAGTACTAAAATATTACGTATTCTTTTACAGAGGTTGTTTGTTTTATGGTCCTCCTGGAACTGGAAAAACTCTGGTTGCTAGAGCACTTGCCAATGAGTGCAGTCAGGGGGATAAAAGAGCAGCATTTTTCATGAGGAAGGGTGCCGACTGCCTGAGTAAATGGGTAGGAGAATCTGAGAGGCAGCTACGACTGTTATTTGACCAGGTATGATACTAAAATTGATCTGTATAGATAATTCCAATCAGTGCAGATGTACATTTAAGGGTTAGATAAATTTTGCATTTAATCACTTTTCATACAAACAGATTCAAAAGAATTGAACGAAATATAAAACCTTTCTAGATTATTTTTCTTTCTATGTCAAGATAACACCAATCAGCAGTGAACAGCTTTATAGTAAGAAGAAAAAGAAGCATAGTCAGCTCTCCATATCCAGAGTTCCACATCTGTGAATTTAACCAACTGCAGATTGGAAGTATTTGTGGAGTAGGAGGGGAAGCCATTCGATGGTCAATGCAATCCCTCAAAGGCATCAGAAGCAATCTGGACGTGGTTTAAAACTTGAAAGGTTATATATGTGTAGTTTATATGAAATACTGTGCCGTACTACCCCATTTTATATAAGGGACTTGAACATCTGCAAATTTGATTACCCGTGGAGAGTCCCGGAACCACATCCCCCATGGAAACTGAGGGATGGCTGTAGTTGAATCCAAATTCTTCAGCATCTTAAGTTGCACACCTAGAGAGAGAGCAGTAGTAGCTTTCCAGAAGTAGATCAAACTGGGATCTTGCTAATAGCATTTTCCCATCCTAACATGCAAGACAGCTGGGTCACATCTTCTCCTTTGCCATGTTTTTATGATTAGTCTTTAACAGATATTTCTTTTGTGATCAATTACTATAGCAATATAAGGTATATAATCTTTAGGTTCACTAAATATTTCTGATTGAAAAAGCAAATAAAATGAAACTATATGCTGTTATAATTTAACCTGAATCATTGAAACAGTTCTTGAGTTTATAATTTATATTGATAAATTATTTTCTGATAAGCAAGTTTGAATAAAAATGGATTAAAATGGCTTGTGTTAAGTTTACATACCTGAGGACTTTTATGGTAACATGGACTACTTGACCTGCTTTCTAGGCCTATCAGATGCGCCCATCAATTATTTTCTTTGATGAAATTGATGGTCTGGCTCCAGTACGATCAAGCAGACAGGATCAAATTCACAGGTAAAATTGGTTTGCTGGCACGTCTGCCTTTCCTCCTACATTCTAAGCTATATTTGACAGTGCATGAGAGAGAGAATGTCAAATTACAACACTAAGAAAGAACTTTACAAACCACTGATTTAATTTTTTTGTAATACTCATACCCATTGCCACTGATCCAGTTCTGACTCAAAATGAGCACTGGTGGCACAGTGGTTATGCGCTCTGCTGCTGACTAAGATTAGCAGTTTGAATCTACCAGCCACTCTGTGGGAGAAAGATGTGGCAGCCTTCTTCCATAAAGATTTGCAGCCCTGGAAACTGTATAGGGCAGTTCTACTCTGTCCAAGAGTCACTTTGAGTTTTTGGTAGTAGATCCCAGTCTATACAATGAAACCTCAACAGGACGGCCTTGATTTTCTGGGTCTCTCAAGTTGTCCACCTTCAATAGGGTGTGGTCTTACTACTTGTCTGTTGCTAATTTAGTGGAAAATACTTGCATTTTCCTTTTCTGACAGATTACCCTTATATAGGTTCTGACATTTGCAGGTTTTACAGTAGTACCATAAGAAAATGTGAACCTGTTTTGGGTGGTGGGGTGCTCTAAAACACAGTTTAAAAATCTTGGTTACAGAAGATTTAACTCTTAATGCAAAGTTAACATACCACAGGCCAGCCAAGTAAGCCAAATGAGTAAGACAGGCCAGTGATGAGAGAGGGGCTATCCGTGGTGGGGCATGTGGCTGCATACTTGGTCTTAACATCATAGCCCGTTGATTTTAGCTCTAACCTACTAACTACTGAAGTACAAAAGTTGACCCAAACTTAAATAATAGATTAGCTCTCTTTCTCAAATGTTATATAGAAATTTTTGAGTGTCTTTTATACATTGTCAGCTAATTTAGATACTTTTAAGACACTGTCTGGGCCAAACAAAATAAGTCTTAGGCCATGACTGCTAGTTTTAAGATTCTAACACTAGTTCAGCTTCCTCATTGTAGAGATGAGAAAACTGCAGCCCTTCCATGGTATGAGGAATAGGTTTGGACTTTTCTAACACCTAACTATATTTACTGTTTTCTGGTGGCTGCCTTTAACTTTATTCTATGTAATTTAATTTGTAGCTGTAAGTTATAGCATTAAGTACTTAAAAATGGTTGCATCTATGTATGTCCTACCAGTAATCTTACAGACTTTTTATATATGGTGGACTTGTTTCATCATCAGCCTCACTGTATTCATTGTGCTAGGGAGGAGAAATACTACCACCTCTTCCACAGGAGAAAGACAAGGCAGTCTGCTTCCATAATGAATTACAGCCTCAGGCACCTTGTGGGGCAGTTCTGCTCTGTCTTATAGGGTTGCTCTGAGTCAGAATTGACTCAGTGACAGTGAGTTTTGTTTTTTTACCATCTCCTTGCAGTCAATTAATTGAGTACCTATTAAATGCATTTTGGGATAGTTTTAAAGGTATTGGAGAAATTTAGGAAGAAAAACTATAGAAAAATTGTAGCAAACAAGAACATATTCACAAATATTTTTTAAGAGAAATTTAGTGTACTTTTTTTTTTAACCAAAGACTTTAGAATCTGACAGAGTAAACATTTTTATTAGATTAGGCTTTTTAGGAAGTTACATGTTTGCTTATTTTTTAAAAGAAATAATGGAAGAATAAACTACAAACATTGTGGGCGGCGCAGAGAAAGATCTGTTGGGATGTGAGACATTAGAGAAAAGGGACAAAGGAAAGGAGACCTCTGCACTTACCTTATTTTATATCATTGACTTCAGAACCATATAAATATTTTACATAATTTTTAAAAATTTAATAAACTGAAAACGGTGAATCTGTCCTTCAAGTGCGTAGCATGAACATACGGGAAAATTTTCTCAAGTAATTCTGAAATGTAGCCTTTTAATATATTGTGGGATATATTCTAAGAACAAAAAAATCAACAGATCTTAAGCTGTATTCTGTATCTTATTGTTACTAATAATATTATGGAATAATGCAAATAAATAATTATGTGAATCTTATTAGGAAATAAGATTTTCAGCGTAAGAGAAAGAGAACACATAATATCAATGAGGAGTTTATTTAAAAAAGAATTTCTACCTCTGGACACTAAAAAGACCTACAAACAATGATGACCCTGCAGTCATTAGTTCATTTAGTACCCAGAATGGGAAACAGTCAAGGACTGCTGAGGTCATCTGAGAATGACATAAGAGCCAATTTTGAAGGGGCTCTTATTGGCCAAAGATGAGACAGTTTGTGCATAAAAAATAGTACTGACTATAATAGATTGAAATACATCAACCCATAAAAATGTATCCGTTTTTAATGACACTTTCATAAAAAAAATCTCCTTGATCACCCCAGAGGTTGCTGACTCCCCGACTTATTACTCTGAATGTTGGTAAATGGAAGAGTTGGTCATTACTTCTTCCTTCCCTGTACAGACCATGAGACCATGATTCAGGGTAACTCAATTGTTGATGAACATGAAGTATTTACATGAAATATTTGTGGATGAAGTGATGTGTATGAGGTTTGCTTTTTTTTGTTGAAGAGCGTTTGTGCAGTCCTTGTGCCTAGTTCGCCATCTTGCCGGAACTTGAGGTTTGCTTTTTTAAAAAGAGCTATTAGAGACCTAAAGAAAGAGAACTGGTAACTATTGAGGCTAGATGATGGAGACATGAAGACCACTTTCACCATTGCCTCTCCCTAATAAAAGGTCTAGAAAAAATTGAAATTGTTTGTTTCTCTCTCTATTTTATTTTGGAGTTATTTGTTTGACAATGTATACCTACTGGAACATTTTATAACTTTTAGATTCTTCTCCTACCTGGTACTACTTTTTTTTTTACAAGTATCTTTTTTTTTTTTTTAATGTTGCATGCTTGTTTGGGAATCTCAAGTTCCTTTGTGAAATCTCTTTTCTGTAGTGGCATCCAGGCTCTATTTGTGGCACTCTAGGCATCATCTATGTTTTCTACTGTGTTTGAGCTCTTAAATCTCATTTAGTACGTTATTTTACAGATTTTTTTTTTTAAATCCATTGAAAGTAGTGAGATGTACTGAGAAAATTTTTTGATAAATCTTATTGAAATAAGAAATATTACTGGATAATTTATTGATTGTTCATAAAATTAATCTTTTTTTTAACTTTTAATTGTGATTTGGGTACAATTTTACAAGAATTCCTCTTTTTTTCTCTTGTTTTTCTCATTTAGTTCTATTGTCTCCACCCTGCTAGCTCTTATGGATGGATTGGACAGCAGAGGAGAGATTGTGGTCATTGGTGCTACAAACAGGCTAGATTCAATAGACCCCGCTTTACGAAGGCCTGGTCGCTTTGACAGAGAATTCCTTTTTAGCCTACCTGATAAAGATGTAAGCATTTAAACTTTGTCAAATTTTTACAAAATATGTTGCCTTTTAGCATTAACAAGTCTTGGTACAGTGAAAATTTGAAGATTATTAAATTTTGTATCATGACCTTACAAAGTGATACTACAAATTAACTCAGAAGAATATATTTTTAAAAAAATTTTTTCTTTAAAATTATAATAATACCTCCCTAAGATTTCTCTTTAAATTACTTAAATTTGACCACAACCTTTAGAACATTGTCAGCCATGAAATTTTATTTTGCCTCAGAGTACATAGCCTAATGAGCAAACTGTCCTTAGTCAGTTTTTAGCTTTGGGTTTTTCATGGACTTCACTGTATAATCCTACCAAGTTGTTTCAAAACCACTTAATCATTTGAGAGCCAGGCAAGAAAATCTGGAGAGGGCTGCCACTGCTCTGAAAAACAGCTCTTAACCGGCACCAGCATAACACCATTCAGAGGTCAACTCCTCTCCTTTATGTCTCTGATGAGTGGGCTGGAGCACTGTAAATGCCAATCTGTTTAACAGTGAAGCCAAGCTTCTTAGATCCCCGCTGATAGACCTGTTTCCTCATTTTCACTGTATTTCATCTTTAAATATTTCTGCTTATGTTAGGTATTAATTTCTGTAAAGAATGGTAGACTAAAGTTTTAGATAATCAAAAGTATTTTAAATTGGAAGTTATTCTAACTTGAATAGCATTTTCTTTCTATAAATATAAAACATCAAACTGTTTTTTATTTGTAGGCTCGAAAAGAAATTCTAAAAATTCACACAAGAGATTGGAATCCGAAACCACTGGACATATTTCTAGAAGAGCTAGCAGAAAACTGTGTTGGTAAACATTGTTTTTAAGCAGTTAAAATGAATATTCCCTTCATTTCAAATTTTAAAACTGATACAAATTCTAACCTCAAGGTTATATTAAAAGAAGTAAGAGATTACATTTGTTTCTCAGCACTCTTATTTGTGGCATGTTTTTCCTCACAAAGTCCAGGATATTAAGTAGAGCTGTTTGACAAATTGGCCATCAGAGAATGTCAAGAGCAATTGAAGTGCACAGTAGTAACGCTAGCTCTCTTTTGCGACAATTTATGTGTTAATTAATTCTCTCATCAGTCCTATGAACTAGGTGCCATTATCCCCATGTTATAGATGAAGAAATGGGTTGAGAGAGCATAAGTGATTTTCCAAAGATAGTGCTTAGTAAATGGCCAACTGGAATTTAAACCTAATCTGCCTGATTTTTAAACTTTTGCTCTTGGCCCCTATGCCACACTCTAGTGCTTGCATCTTTCACTCACAAAAATGGATTGATTTGTTGGTAGTTAGTACTACCGTAAGGAGCCCTGCTAGTGTAGTGGTAAAAGTGCTCAGCTGCTAACCAAAAGGTCAGTGGTTTGAACCTACCAGCTGCTTTGGGGCAAAGATGTGGTAATCTGCTTCTGTGAAGATTTACAACCTTGGAAACCCTCTGGGGCAGTTGTACTCTTTCCTGTAGGATTGAAATGGGTTGAAATCAAGTTGTCAGCTACAGTTTTTTACTACCACGTTGAGTTCACTGGGTAAATGATAGGATTTTGTTTTATTCTTAACTATTTTGCTACTATACTAGATTTTTAATTTTCCTTTAACTGTGGTTATGCTAATTGTTTGTATGTTTGTCTTGGTTGCTTTGAATAGGATACTGTGGTGCAGATATTAAGTCAATATGTGCTGAAGCGGCTTTATGTGCTCTACGTCGACGCTACCCACAGATCTATACCACCAGTGAGAAACTGCAATTGAATCTCTCTTCAATTAATATCTCAGCTAAGGATTTTGAGGTGGCTATGCAAAAGATGATCCCAGCCTCTCAAAGAGCTGTGACATCACCTGCACAGGCACTGTCCACCATTGTGAAACCCCTACTGCAAAGCACTGTTCACAAGATCTTGGAAGCCCTACAGAGAGTATTTCCACATGCAGAAATTGGAACAAATAAAACACTAGACTCAGGTATAGCACTTGATTGGCCATTTAAAGTTAGTTTTCATGATCAGCAAATCTAAATGTTTATACCTCCTAGAAGTGTTTCTTAGTAGAGGGCTCTCTTGAAGGTAATTTCATTGTGCTTCACTTGGGATTTTTGAATAAAATTGACTTTCCATGGATTATCCTTAACTTAATCTGATTATTTTAAGTTTTGTTCTTAAAAAAAAAATCATTGAAGTATGTTGACTTGCTAACTGACATACAAAGATTGGCTTTGCAATCCAGAAAAATTACTAAGGAACGGGTTTTTTGTGTTTTGTAGCTATGCCTTGTTCTCTGCTGGAAAGTGACTTGGCGTATAGTGATGATGATGTTCCGTCAGTGTATGAAAATGGACTTTCTCAGAAATCCTTTAATAAAGCAAAAGAAAATTGTAATTTTCTTCATTTGAATAGGTACATTTTCCTTGTTAAAATTGCGTGTGTGTGTGTGTGTGTGTAAATTTCTTAAAACTAAATGAGATTGTGGTTGAAAAAGATAAAAGATGCCAATCAAGCTGCTTTTTTTTTTTTTTTTTTTAATTTGGGTGAAGATTTACAGAGCAAATTCACTCTCCATACAGCAGTTCACATATACTTTGTCTCATGACATTGACCACAGTTTACCATAGTACAACAGCTCCCCTCCCACCTCCTCCCCATAGTTAGCTCCTCCCAGTGTCCAGCCCTCCATGGGCTCCCGCCCCCTAAGCTGTCTCCCTGTGCATAAGCAGCCCTTCTTTCTCCCATGATTGTTCTCTCCAAGGAGTGTATCTACCTGAGGTAAATGTTCAGCTCATATGCCTGTCCCCTGTTTGGCTGGAAACCACAGGTGTGGGTTCAATTACAGACCCGAAGGGCAGCTAGGGGCCATAGTCTCTGGTTCCACCAGGCTCTATTGGACCAGCAAACCTGGCCCCTCCCTTTTTTTCCTCCAGTGATTTTGAGTTTTGTTCCACATTGTTCTCCCTCTCTGTCAAGGATCTCCTACACAGATCCCCTTTTAAGTGGAAGACAGTGGTAGTTGGGCACCATCTAGTTCTTCTGGTCTCATAGTTGTATAGGCTGCAGATCAGATGGTGCACCAGTTGCTAGGACTAATTGTTTCCATGAATTTTGGTTTTCTTCATTCTTCTTTGCTCTGGATGAGGAGAGACCCATCGTTGCATCTAGATGGCAGCTTGTTAGCTTTTAACATCCCAGTTGCTACTCACCAAGGTAGGAGGTGGAACAATGTTTTTATAGTATATTATGCCAATTGAGCTTGATGTCCCCTGTGACTATGGTCCCAAGCCCACAGGTTCAACTACTCGGTCTCTCTGGTTAGCTGGCTGTGACCAAGCAATGACCACAACCTTGCCCCTTGTCAAGCTGCTTTTTTTTAAAAGCTAAAATATCAGAGTTTTTTTTTTTCCTACTGTCATCAGTATAGTAGAAATTACTGTATAAAATACTCCTGAGAATCAGGTTAGTTGTTTCTAGCTTCATGTGAGCCATGTTACCATTGGCCAACCATGGAGGCCAGACTATGACTCATGAAAGTTCATAAGCAATGATCTAGGAAGGAGGGGGATCAACTTTTTTTTTCTAAAACAGCTTATTATTTCTTTCAGAAATGCTTGTCACCAACCTATGTCTTTTCGACCAAGAATATTAATAGTAGGAGAACCGGGATTTGGACAGGGCTCTCACTTGGCACCAGCTGTCATCCATGCTTTGGAGAGATGCACAGTGTATACATTAGACATTCCTGTTCTTTTTGGAGTCAGCGCTACGTCTCCTGAGGAAACATGTGCCCAGGTAATTCATGTTGCCCAAACAAATAAGCTGTTTGGAAGACAGAGTCTTCAAAGACAAAATATAGAACTGCCTCATTTTTTTATTTTCCCTCCTCATTTCTAACTTTGGGTTTATGAAACAGAACTGTGTATATTTGATTAATTGTTGAAAATTATGGGTGCAAATCCTAGTTCCATCACTTACTATCTATGTGACATTGGGAAAGTCATTAGATCTCTCTGGCTCGTTTCATTTGCAAAATGGAAATGATGATAGTGCTTACCTCATACAACTAGTATGAGGGTTAAATGAGTAAGGTGGGACAGTGACTCCTCTTTGGTATATTAATACTCTGTAGCTTCTATTTTTACTGTTTTTATGTTCAATATTTTTAATATGAAGATATCTTATATGTTTAATCATGTTTACCACAACAGAAAAAGCTTCGAAATTTCTTGAGCTGTTTAATAATTAACTAGTAAAAAACAAATTGCTGTCAAGGCACCTCTAGCCACTGGTGGCCCCATTTGTGTACAGCGATGCTCCATGGGGTTTTCGATGGCAGGTTTTTTGGACGCAGACTGTCCGCCTTCTCGTCAGCAGTGAAACACATTAACTGTTAGCACTGCCCAGGGACTCTCTTTATTAGTCACTTGAAGCAATTATGTTTTCCTAAAAATGAAACTTTTAGAAAACATTTTTTAAAAACCAGATTGTGAGCCTTTGTTGAAAGCATTTAAAAACTTGAGGGTTTTGTATGATAGTTTGGGAAGTAAAGCACTGTTCCAGACTAGTAGATCTAGCATCACTAATGGGCTGACTTGAACTGAATGTGTTTTTTTTTTTTTTCCTCTATCAGACAATTCGTGAGGCAAAGAGAACAGCACCAAGTATAGTGTATGTCCCACACATTCACTTGTGGTGGGAAATAGTCGGACCAACCCTCAAAGCCACATTTATCACATTATTACAGAACATTCCTTCATTTGCTCCAGTTTTACTGCTTGCAACTTCAGATAAACCCCATTCTACTCTGCCAGAAGAGGTAATTTATGGTGAAAAAAGTTACTATACTGTAAAAAGAAAGTTATTAATATCAAAAATTCAAGTGCTACAGAAGTGAATAAAAAGATCCGAAAAGGATTTCTTAACTCATGAAAGATGACCATTTGTGAATCTTTGTGACACAGGTGCTGGTGGGGTGTGAGAGGGATACCGTAAGGCTACATCACTACATCACAGTTTTTCTCTCGTACAAAAAGGGGACCAGATGATGCATACTGTTCTGCAGTTTGCTTTATTCACTTACCAAACCAAAAGACCAAACTCACTGCCATCAAGTCAATTCCAACTCATAGCAACCCCTCCTTGGGTTTCCGAGGCAGTATCTCCTTGGAAGTAGATTGCCCAGTCTTCCTTCCAAGGAGTGGCTGGTGAGTTTGAACTGCCAACCTTCTGGTTAGTAGTCATATACGTGCCTTAGGCACTATGCCCCAGAGTTCCTTATTCACTTACCAGTATGTCTTAAATATTTGTCAGTACATGGATCTCATTCCTTTTAAGAGCTGCATGATTTTTCTGTTGAAAGTGTACCATAATTGATTTATCAGAATAAATTGATATTTTGACTTTTTTCCAGTTTTATCTATTAAATTGGTACAGTGAACATCCTTGCATTTTAATTTGTATGGGCATTACTATGTGGATTTTTATAGCATTGGTTCCTAGATGTAGAATAGCTGTGTGTGAGTCAAAGGAGGTATGCATTTAAATTTTTTGATCGTACCATATTGTTCTCCATTCTTTGTGTAAGTGTAGACAACTACCAGTGACAAACAGAAGTTTCTGTTTCTTCTGTTTGGAACACACTTCTCTCAGATATTCCAATGTCACTTTAGCGAGGTCTTTCATGATCAGAGTTTTTAATTATGGCAATAATCCCTCCCTCTCTCTTTCCCTGATGCTACTTTATTTTTGTTGCTACCTGCCATGACGTGCTAATTTGGGAACTCTGTCTCCCAACCAGAATATTAAGTAAATAAAGTCAAGAACTTTTTTCTCATCTCTCTGGCTCCAAACCCAAAAACCAAACTCACTGCCATTGAATTGATTCCAACTCATAGTAACCTCCATTTTTCCGAAGCGGTAAATCTTTACGAAAGTAGGTTGCCCAGTTTTCTTTCCGCAGAGTGGCTGGTGGGTTTGAACCACCAACTTTCAGGTTAGCAGTAAGATGCCTTAGGCACTGTGCTGCCATAATGCAGACATTGCAGTCTCCTGTGTATTATTTTTTTATGAATGAATTTAATGAGTTTTTCCACACCTTTGATAAAATTGGTTTATAATTTCTAGAACATTATTTAGTAGGAAGATAAATTCAAATATTTTATTAGATATATTTGGAGTGTTTACTCTGTGCCAGGTTTGGTTCTAGTTACTGGGAGCATATCAATGAACAATAATAGAGAAACATTTATATTCTCCTAGAGCTTACATTTTAGTTGAGGGAGAGACAGACTGAAAAGTAAATGAACAAAATATATCTTAAGTATTATGGAGAAAAGAGAAGAATTTAGCTGGGGAGTACCAAAAGAGTGTAGGTAGGGTCACACTGTGAAATGGGCCAGGGAGACCTCAAGAAGATGACAGTTGAGCAAAGCTGTGCAGAAAGTAAGGTGTGAGCAGCTTAAGTGCCTGAGGAACAGACACTCAGAGGTTCCTGCCACCAAAAGAGTGTAGGTAGGGTCACACTGTGAAATGGGCCAGGGAGGCCCAAGAAGACAACGCTTGAGCAAAGCTGTGCAGAAAGTAAGGTGTGAGCAGCTTAAGTGCCTGAGAGACAGACACCCAGAGGCTCCTGGCAGAGGGTAAAGCAAGTGAGCTTTGTCTGGAAAAAGGAGAAAGAACGAGGATTAGAAGTTTCAGTGAATCCATGAAACACAAAGCAGTGGGTATTAAATCGATGAAGGTAACTACAGTTCAAAGCATGTGCATGAAGGGTGGGAGTGGTTCTGAACTCTGGGTCAGTACCAGCAAATGGTTGAGAGAGCCCTTGGACCAGTCCGGGCTGTTGGCTTCCAGCATGCCAAGCAGCAGTCAGCAGAGTTGTTGGTTGTCAGCTAGACCAGTGAGGTGGGCCCTTTAGACTGGTGTGGTCGAGCAGTACCTAACACATGGCTGCTGATGTCCAGGAGGAATAGGGAGAAGGTACCTTATTCTTGTGCTCAAAAGACATAGCACGAGCACATTCTGTTTCCAGTACAGACTGGCTTCCTACACAATCACTGGAGGTAGACACTGGAATTAACAGGTGTAGCAAATATGAGCAGTCAGAGATTTCAAATGCAAAGATGAGCTTAGAAACAATCATGTGAGGAAGGACAACCCCGGGGATATCATATCTATGCACCATGAACAAACTGTGACAGAACCAACTGGAGGTCTTATAAATGAGGTAACTCCCTCATCCCACCCCACCTGCCAGGGGAAAAGCCCTGTAGATCTGGAAAGGAGCGGGTAAGTGAAGAGTGACTTAGCGAAGTAGAGGACTCTGAGATTATGGCCTGTCTCAGGAAAGGTATCCTGCCTTCCTGTGTTAGTGGAGAGCTCAAGTGAAATGGTGTTTGAACATTAATAGGATTGGAGACAAGTAGGCATTTATGTTAAAGACAGCTATCTACCCTCATGTAAAAGATTCATCATGATACAGGAAAACATGTATTTCAGAAATAAGTCTGAAAGCCTCTTAGAGGTATCAGAACGGTGTTCTGTTAATCCACTACTGAAACAAAGGGCAGGAGGTATTTTCAAACAAATCTCTGGCTAATTTATAAAAAAAGGTGGTAAATGATTCCAAGCAGTTAAACTTTCAGTAACCATTAAGGGTTATGAGAGATAGCTTCATGTTTCTAGACGAGAGGGTCAGGGACTGGTGGCTCACCCTGTGCGGCTTACCTAAAACATTTCACAATTCACTCGTTTTTTTAATTAATTTATGTTAACTTCAACATTCTTTCCTTGTAAAAGTGCTTGTAGGGCAGTAACTACACAGTAATGGTCGGTGCTGTCATAGGATGGTGCCTGTGATAGCTTCCTCTCTAATCTGTGTCACTCCATAATAACAGCTTTGAAAAGGTTCAGAGATGCGGCCAGAATCCTTTTGGGATCTTTTGCATGTAATGAATGACCCTCATTCTTAGATCTCACTTTGGGTTGTGAAAGGGAGATTAATAGATCTCAACAGACTCTTTAAAAATTGTCACATTAGTTACTGTAGGAATTACAGTTTGAAATCTTGAGTTTTAAAGAAGAACACGTTTTTTTAGTCCCTGTTGTTAAGGGCTGTTGAGTCAGTTCCGACTCATAGCGACCCTCTGTACAACAGATTGAAACACTGTATGGTCATGCACCATCCTCACAATTGTTGCCATATTGGAGCTCATTGTCACAACCACTGTGTCATTCCATCTCATTAAGGGCTGTCCCCTTTTTTGCTGACCTTCTGCTTTACCAAGCATAGTATCTTTCTCCAGGGAATGTCCTTTCTGAAAACATGACCAAAGTACTTGAGACAAAGTCTGGCCATTCTCGCTTCTAAGGAGCATTCTGGCTGTACTTCCTCCAAGATGGTTTTGCGCATTCTTCTGGCTGTCCATGTGGTATTTTCAGTATTCTTCACCAACACCCCAGTTCAAAAGCATCAGTTCTTCTTTGGTCTTCCTTATTCATTGTCCAACTCTCACTTACATATGAGGCTATTGAAAATCCTATGGCTTGGGTCAGGTGCATCTTGGGTCTTCAAAGTGACATCTCTGCTCTTGACAGTTTAAAGGGGTCCCTAGGCTATTGAATTAGAGGGTCAGTGGAAAAGAAGGAGGCCCTCAATGGGATGGACGACACCGTGGCTGTAGCAGTAGACGCAGACATAGCAACAGTTGTGAGGATGCCACAAACTGAGCAGCTGGAGTTGGAACTGACTTGACACCTAACAACAAGCTGTTCAACACATTGCATATACTTAAATCCGGCATATTTAAAAGACTTGGGTTATTTTGTTTTTAAATTTCTTTATTGTATACTTTAGATTTTCATTAAAAACCTCTAGTCACATACATAGGTAGTGTGTGTAGGTGTAATGCATTTCTTTTGGCTTTTTTTAAAGGTGCAAGAATTATTTATCCGTGAGTATGGAGAAATTTTTAATGTTCAATTACCTGGTGAAGAAGAACGAACAAAATTTTTTGAAGATTTAATTCTCAAACAAGCTGCTAAGCCTCCTGTATCAAAAAAGAAAGCAGGTTAGTTCCTGTATTGGGGTTAGGATGTAATGGTTCTGAGAGAGTGAGAATGAAATCTCAGTTAATGCATGTTGCCACCTGTTAATTACACAGGTTCAAAAGCTCAGTCAGAAGTTGATGCCTCTGAACTTCCCATTAAAATGGATTAAAGTTCTTAAGTCATAACGGCCTTTCAGAGTGTGACCTCATTCTTTGTTCCAAGCTCATTTTGGGCACCTTTGTTCTCAACTCCCCCAGCACACCTCTTTCTGTATAAAGAACTCTGTCTTTTGATGATAGACAGCATTCTCTTCCTTCTCACAATTTCATTCATCTTTGCTGTTTGTCAGGAATGCTTCTATTCCCCATCTACAAGGAATTAATTATCTTTCTAGTATAACTCAGTTATTTCTTTATGAGGAAATCTTCCCTAACAACCTAGACAAAATTAATTGTTCATACCTTTATGACCCATCACACTTTCTTCATGCTACTAATATGATCATGACATTCTAATTGTGTCTCTTTCTCCTGAAATCAATTGCCAGCTTATTTGGTAGCTCTGTCATATTCCTCTTTTTATCCTGAGTATGCAATGCATATCTGTTTAAGCAAATGTAAACTTGTGTGATATGTGTTGTATATCATAGGTATTCGTTAATTCAGAAATTCACTAGTGAAGAACATATTTTTAATACTTTTAATATTCTTGTCCTATAAATAATGCTTTTTCAAAGTTTTAATAGCTTCTTAGATAACCTTGAAATGTAACAGAGATAATGTAGGATGTACAGTTTTAGGATGTAGCCAGGTTACAAGTTACCAGTCATTTCTGAACGATCGTAAGGGTAGATATTATGGTAGCAATTTAGTATTCCAAATCCTGGTGTTTCTGGCGGATGTAAGGAGGGTAATCCTTCAGAACCTGGCCACCACTTGCACTGAATCATCTCATCACCTTTGGTGCTATGGGGGAGCGTTAACTAAAATCTTCTGTTCATGTGAAGTTTTACAGGCCTTGGAGGTACTCCCAGTAGCACCACCACCTGAGCCAAGGCCATTGACAGTAGAAGAAGTGAAACGGCTAGAAGAACAAGAAGAAGATACATTTAGAGAATTGAGGATTTTCTTAAGAAATGTTACACATAGGCTTGCTATTGACAAGCGATTCCGAGTATTTACTAAGCCTGTTGATCCTGATGAGGTATTAATTTAATCTTTGTATTAATGTGTTCTGAATGATAATGGTTCAAAATCAGAGAATATTTGAATAGTTTATGCTGTTCCCTGTCTACACTCTGAACTTGTTCTCTATGCAGAAACATGTACCAAGTAGTATCCTAATCATGTGGAGAATTCAAGAGCTATGTAACACACATTTTCCTTTCCTGCAGAGAATACACAATTAACTTTGCCCAACCCAGACTTTGTAGAAGCAATTTGAGAATGTCTTAATGCCACATGATAATACTGTGACCTGTTGGAGTGAGCTGGCATATTTGAAGAAGACTTAATGAAAGAGCCAGGACTTAAGCTGACATTGAAGGATGGGTGGCATTTGGATGAGGAAAGAGGTATAGGATATTACTGGGGATAGAGATAGCTGCCCAAGAATAGGAATAAGTACAAAATAAAACCACCTTTAAGTTGAGTCAGGTTTCATATGAATATGTCCTCATACCTCTATGGACCTATTCTTTCTCCCCTGCATTACTTGGCACAGAGACTTGACTCAAATGTGCTTTATGATCAGAGTTAATGTAATGGTTCATCATTTGCCTGAATTTTAGGTTCCTGATTATGTCACTGTAATAAAGCAGCCAATGGACCTTTCATCTGTCATCAGTAAAATTGATCTGCACAAGTACCTGACTGTGAAAGACTATCTGCGGGATATTGATCTGATCTGTAGCAATGCTCTGGAATACAATCCCGATCGAGATCCTGGAGGTGGGTATCAGTGGGGCTCCTCGAGGGATGGCATCAGGGCTGCGAACACTTAGGGCTGATTTTTTTTTTTTTTTTTTTTTAATGCATTTTATTGAAATATAATTGATGTACAATGAAATACACAAAGCTAAAGTAACATGGGTCAATGCGTTTCTTTTTTTTTTTTTTGGCAGTGTTCCCTCCCCTCCTCTCCCACCCCTAGCAACCAACAAAGAAAGTTTCCCTCCATATATAAACCTTTCCTTGACCCTCCACAACAACAAACTAATACTATATTTGTCCTTCTGTGATTGACTTATTTCACTCAGCATAATATCCTCCAAGTTCATCCATATTATGCAGTGTTTTGCAGACTCTACATTATTCTTTAGTGCTGCGTAGCATTCCATTATGTGTATATACCATAGTCTGCTCATCCACTCTTCTGCTGATGAGCATGTAGGTTGTTTCCATCTTTTTGCTATTGTAAATAGTGCTGTGATGAACATGAATGTGCATGTTATCTGTCCTGCTCTCACCTCTCTAGGATATATACCTAGTAATGGGATTGCTGGGTCAAATAGTATCTCCAGCTTTCTAAGGAATCGCCATATTGCTTTCCACAGTAGTTGTATCACTTCACAGTCCCACCAGCAGTGTATGAGAGTCCCAATCTCTCCACACCTCTGCCATCATTTGTTATTTTCTGTCTCGTTGACCCTTGCCAACAGTGCTGAGGTGCAATGGTATCTCATTGTTGTTTTGATTTGCATCTCTCTGATGGCCAGTGATCGGGAGCATCTCTTCGTGTATTAGCTGGCCACCTGATTATCCTCCTTGGTGAAGTGTCTATTCACGTCTTCTGCCCATTTTTCAATTGAATTGTTAATTCCTTTGCTGTTGAGGTGTTGGAGTTTTCTGTAAATCTTAGAGATAAGTCCCTTGCCAGATATGTAATTATTGGCAAATATGAATTTGTTGCTGTCATCTTTGTTACTTGCTTTTTTGTGGTGTCTATTTCTGTTAATTTTCTATGCTGAGCTCGTTTTGTTTATGAATCGTGTTATCACTTCCCTCATTGCTATTTAGTATTTGCTAAATGTTTGTGCTAGTCCTCTTTTTTATTTTGATGTGAAGGTTTGTCGTTTTTCTTTGAGGTTACCCTGTGATTTATCAATTTCTTCTTAGGGCTGGTTTTGTGTGTGTGTGTGTGTGTGATTTGGGTGAAAATTTACAGAGCAAATTCACTTCCATATAGCAGTTCACATATACTTTGTCTCATGACATTGACCACAATTTACCATAATGCAACATCTCTCATACTTCCTCCCGATAGTTACCTCTTCCCAGTGTCCATCCCTCCATGCACTCCTGCCCCCTGAGCTGTCTCCCTGTGCATAGGCAGCCCTTCTTTCTCCCATGATTGTTCTCTCCAAGGAGTGTATCTACCTCAGGTAAATGTTCAACTCATATGCCTGTCTATTGTTTGGCTGGAAGCCACAAGTGTGGGTTCAGTTCCAGACCTGAAGGGCAGCTAGGGGCCGTAGTCTCAGTGGTTAAACCAGGCTCTATCGGACCAGCAAACCTGGTCCCCCCCTTTTTTTTTCCTCCAAATGATTTTGAGTTTTGTTCCACATTGTTCTCCCTCTCTATGCAGGATCTCCTACATCCCTTCCAAGTGGATGACAGTGGTAGCCAGGCACCATCTAGTTCTTCTGGTCTCATAGTTGTATAGGTTGCAGATCGGATGGTGTACCAGCCACTAGAACTCATTGTTTCCATGAATTTTGGTTTTCTTCATTCTTTGCTCTGGACAAGGAGAGACCCATCGTTGCATCTAGATGACAGGCTTTTAAGATCCCAGTCGCTACTTGTTAGGGCTGATTTTTATGTTTGATGTTGTATTATATATTTTATGTTCATGATGCGATTGAATCCTCATAGTAAGCTTACACTCATTTTACAGATGAGGAAAATGAAGTTGAGAGAAGTTTAATTAAATTAAGAAAAAACTTTTCCTAGAAGGTGGCAGAGGCGAAATTTGAATGCAGGTTTCTTTTCAAAACCCTGTGCTTATGAAGAACTACATGACACACCCCCAATAAAATTCAAAGTTGTGTAGCAGCTAATTTCCTTTGTGTATCAGTGCTCTTTCTCAGAGTGGAAAAATAAACAGTACTGAAATAGACTTAAGTTTTCTTAGTTTAAGACCATTATATCTATTATTACAAAAATAATATAATACTTGCTAATGGAAGTACATACAAAAACTTTTTGTTTCAGTCTCCCCATTTCTTTTCTCCCAGTGGATACTGTTACGTTTTAGGATATCTTTTCAGACATTTTTCTATGCAAATACCCTCTCCACCCTTACCTGTATCCTCGATTAATAAAAATTCATAAAATAAGGGATATTTTTAATGATATATTTGTTCTTCAACTTGTTCATTTCCAAGATATATTCTTCTTCCTCGGGTGCTACTTTTTTATAGCTTCCTGTTCTTGTTTTATGGATGTTGTTGTTGTTGTTAAGTGCCGTCAAGTCGTTTCTGACTCATAGCGATCCCATGCACAGCAGAACGAAACACTGCCCGATCCCACGCCAGCCCAACAATCCCTGCTATACTTGAGCCCATCATTGCAGCCACTGTGTCAATCCATCTCGTTGAAGACCTCCTCCTCTTTCGTTGACCCTCCACCCTACCAAGCATGACATCCTTCTCCAGGGAATGGTCCCTTTTTACAACATGACAAAATAGGTGAGACGAAGTCTGGCCATTCTTGCTTCCAAGGAGCATTCTGACTGCACTTCCTCCAGAACAGATCTGTTAGTTCTTTTAGCAGTCCATGGTACTTTCAGCATTCAGTTTTATGGATGCAGGTCCTTAATTCTCTCAGTGAATAAAAAGTAGTTAATAGTTCTCATTCTTCTCAATTACATTGAAGAGAAGCTGCTGAGAGTTTCTTCAACAACTGAAAAGTCGCTGTTCTTCCGACCCAGGTCCTTGCCTCCATTCCCCAGGCATTTCTCTGTAGATGAGAGTCCTGGAGCTGAGTGGGGGGAACATCCCTTAACTGGAAACCGCAGAAAGAAGGAAGCAGCCACTCTGGAGGCAGAGGCTTCTGTCGTAGTCAGGCTGATGCTTGTCCTTCTGTCCACTGCAGCAATGTAAACTGCTTACACCAGTGTGGTCAAACTTCAGTGGGTGTCCTAGTCACCTAAAGGACTTGTTAAAATACAGATTGTTGGGCCCCATCGCCAGGGTGTTTGATGCTGTGGATTGGGGTGGGGGGAGCCTGAGAATTCGCACGTCTGACTAGTTCCCTGGCAATGCTGCTGGTCCAGGGACTATACTATTGAGAACTGCTGCTTTCGACTTTGCCCTGCCCCTTTCTTCAAGCCCAAATGCCATGTCAGAAGTCCCCCTGCAACATCTTCTGAGAGCTCTATCTGTCAGCTATAACCTTGGAGTGGATATTGCAACCTCCCGGCCTGTGAAGGCCCTGAGCGAGCAGTTCAAGCAGTCCTGCATTCACTAACCACCTGTCTTCTGTCTTGAAGCATTTTGGGGTTCTCAGGGCCTCGGTTCTGAGCACTGGCTTTTCCCCGGTGTTTCCTGCGTGGGGTTGCTATTGCACTGTCTCTGTTTAGTCTTTCTGTCAGTGTAGCAGCACTGTGTGCACCTCTTCCAGAAATCATTTATGTTTCTGGTCACTAACGACACTGACCGTCTTCTGTCTTGTCATTTTTGTTGTTTAGTCTTGCTGTTGATTGATTCTTACATTTATTTATTTATTTTTGATATTTCAAAGGGATCTGGATAGGACAGAGCAGAAAAATTGTTTGGATTTAGCCTGCCTTGTTAATCAGATGGCCAGCACATTAAATTAAGATAAAAAAAAAAAAAAAAAGCACAATTCCAGTAACTTTCACTATTCGTGGTAAAAAAAAAAAGAAAAGAAAAGAAATTGTAATAACTACGTTCCTAGCCTAACATGTTGAGTTTATTTTTGGTAGATTATTAAAAGGGAAAAATTCAGTACTGTATTTCTTCCCCCGTTTTCAGATCGTCTTATTAGACATAGAGCTTGTGCTTTAAGAGACACCGCCTATGCGATCATTAAAGAGGAGCTTGATGAGGACTTTGAACAGCTTTGTGAAGAGATTCAGGAGTCTAGGAAGAAGCGAGGTAATTGACTGAGCAGCAAACAAAGATGCTGCCGATGCAGTGGACTGAGTCCTTTGGTTAATCTTTCATGTAATTTTGAAATTAGAGATCTTCTGTGACATCCATGTCTCTCTTACAAGGTTGCAGCTCTTCCAAATATGCCCCATCTTACTACCATGTGATGCCAAAGCAAAACTCCACTCCTGCTGGAGATAAGAGATCGGATCCAGGGCAGAATGAAAAGCTAAAGATGCCCAGCACGCCTGTGGCCTGTAGCACACCTGGTAAGTGCACGGCTGATTGTCATTCATGAGACTGGAGCCTTTGTCCTCTTCTTGTGCCATTTGCTTGCTCCCTCAGTTTCCTTCGTTTGTATTAAAGTATTGAATCACACTGATCTTTCTAATAATAAGCCAGGTTTTTATTCATGAAATCAGGTTTGTAGTGGTTTCTGCCCCTAAGTTTTAGCCCTTGTCCTCAGGACTACCCGTGCACTATGGTTATCTGCCTCTGGTGTAGGCACAACAGCGCATAACCTCTGCACCTTTGTTTTCTTGTCTGTAAAATGGTGATGAGGATGGTAGCAAACCTCATCAGGTTAAAGTGAAATTGAATGAGTTACTACACAGAAAAGGCTTAACAGAGTTCCTGGTGAATGGAAGCATTCAAAGAGTGTAGGCCATGACTAGCCTTGCCCTTCTCCTAACTCATTCCTCATCCTACTGCCGCAGTAACCTGTTTAAATACACATCAGACAGACACATCATCGCCTTCCTTAAAATTAGTTAACATAAAATCACTTTAGGACCTGAGCCTTGCCTACGTCTGCATGTTCTTCTCACAGTACTCTCTACTTCTCTTTCTCTCTTCCAACCATACACAACTACCCTGGCTTCTCAAACTCTCCATCTCTTCCTCAGCGCCCCTCCCTTTAGACCTTAAAAATTGTTGAATGTTCTTTTATTCTTTTTCTTTAAATTCCTTGAAGCTCAATTGAAGAGAAAAATTCGCAAAAAGTCTAAGTGGTACTTAGGTACCATAACAAAACGAAGGAAGGTTTCACAGGGGAAAGATGAATGCCAGCACGCAGGGGGTGACAAAATTGAGAGTGATGCAGAGGAAACTCAGGATACAAGTGTGGACCATAACGAGACAGGAAACACTGGCGATTCTTCAATGGAAGAAAACGAGAAGCAGCAAAATGCTTCTGACAGCAGGATGAAGTTGGCAAATAACAACTCCAGTAACTGTAGCATTGAGAATGACCTGGAAGGATCTGGGAAGAGCGTATGTGCAGAGTTGAGAAAAGACAACATGGCCTGCAGTGGAAATGCTTCTGGCTCTCAGATCGTAGATAATTTAGATGAAAGTGAAGCAAATGGTAAGTCTTGTACAATTAAAAAGCAAGTTACTGATTTTAAAAGATTTCTCACTCTGAGTTCCTAAGTGACTCATTGCCATCTCAGTTTGTGGCATTTTTCGTGTCTTTTGAGTGTGGGTATTAATTAATGGGGGAAAAACAGCATTATCTTCAGTTAATAACTGCTAAACTAGTAAATCACTGTTGTTAAAAGCACAGACTTTGACATCAAAGAGACTGGATTTGAGCCTTTTAGTCTATCACTTGGTAGCTTGTGACCTTGGGCAAGTTATTTAACTTGTAACTCAGTTTTCTCATCTACAGTATTGGGATAGATCATTCCTGGGTGATGAGATGTATTGAGGAGTGAATAAAAGAATCCATCTAAACACTGCCAGCTAAGCAACTTTAAAAAGTTGCCAGGATACCATCCTCATTTCAAAGCAAGATAAGCCATTTCCTGTGATTCTTGCTGGTGGTGTGGAACAACTGTTACCCACCCCCACCGTTCCTCCACCCCTGCAGCAGTTCACTCTGTGATCCACTCCCCAAATTTTTTCATTTAAAATTGTCATCTATCTGCATCTTCTTGGTGTAGTTCATTTGTTGGGTATTCTGAAAAGCTAACAGTATTTAAAGCCAAGTCATGCAAAGTGGAAAAATGGGTAACAAAGACAGGAATTAATTTTCGTCAAAAAACAAGTATTGACTGTAAGTGAATGAAACTGGATTTCTTCACTGGATTACACACTGATTCTGAAAGATTTTCCTTGAAATGAGTTCTAGTATATTTGAGTCATCACAGCAGAAATGCTGCAGATTATGGCCTTTTTGATGTGTGTATTTTAATGGCTAATCCTCTAGAAGTCTCATTTGTTTTGTTTGGTGTCAGTTGTTTTACTTTATCTTTTTTTTAGGAAAATGGCACTGTATAATTAGGCAAGTACTTGCTTAGATCTGAGCTCTTGTTTAGGCTCGAGTAATAATTGGGTGTGTGACCTTAGAAAAAACTCTCTACGGCTGTCTTGGCCTCACTTTTCCCACCTGTCAATGAGTAGATTGTTCTAGACCAGTGGTCAGCAAACCTTTTCTGTAAAGGGCCAGATAGTGAGTATATGGGCTTGGTGAGCCCCACGGTTTGTTACAGTTGCCCCAGCTTGCTATGCACACGGCCATTGACAGTATGTAAAATGGGGGGGGGGGGGGTGGCAATAACATTTTCACTACAGCAGTGGGCCAAATCTATGAGTGGTCGTTTGCAACCCCTGTTCTAGATTCCTGAGTCCCTTTCAGCTCCTGAATGCTGTGAGTCTTGTGCCTAAATAGAAGACAGTCTAACCCGTTGAAGAGTCCCCTGAAATACCCAGTTGGAGAAATAGGTCTCAAAATGGCTTTTGTTTTTTAAGTATTTATAAGTAGCAGCATCGTAACAGGAGAAAGAGTTAATAAGTTAGAATGAGTGTTTCAGTCTTAATAAACATTCCCTGTTATTTAATCTACCTAATAAAATATTGAGGAGCCCTGGGGCACAGAGGTTAAGTGCTCAGCTGCTAACCAAAAAAGGTCATGGTTCAAACCCACCAGCTGCAATGTGGGAGAACGATGTGGCAGTCTCCTTCCGTAAAGATTACAGCCCTGGAAAGTCTAAGGGACAGTTCTGGTCTGTTCTCTGGGGTTGCTCTGAGTCAGAATCAAATCAATGGCAATGTGTTTTGGGGGGTTAATATTTATTTTAGGCCTTTAAATGTCTGGACCAAATAATACTCTATTTTCTCCTTCTAGATATGTGTGTTCTGCGAATGACTCGAGCTAGACGGCCCCAGGGACAGCAGCAGCTCATCAGTGTGGAGAAGGCTTTGGCAATTCTTTCTCACCCAACACCCTCGCTTGTTGTGGACCAGGAGCGCTTAAAAGTAAGGACGTGGAAATCGTAATGCCTTCAGTGTGCAGATTGTAGTCCCCAAAGACTGGATTATAGACTAGTGGCAGGCTAGCTGCATAAGAAGGCCCCAAAAAAACCCACAAACTCACTGCCATCGAGTCGATTGTGAGTCATTGTGACCCCCTTTTTGTTTCAGAGGCAGTACATCTTTATGGAAGTAGATTACCCAGTCTTCCTCCCACTGAGCAGCTGGTGGGTTTGAACTGCCAACCTTCTGATAAACAGTCAGATGCCTTAGGCACCAGAGCTCCTTGTAAGGATGCAGAGAGTAAAATCTTTTCTTGCTCCCAGCTTTCCTCTGCTGCTTTTCTCCTTCCCGTCTCAACTGCCGATCTGGATCTGAGGAGCCGGGGGGGCACCAGGCTGGGGGTAGCTCAGCGATTCGGACGCGCAGCCAGTTCCCTGCTGCTGCTGTTTGCCCCCCACTCATTCACTGCCCTCATGTGGGCCTCCGTCCTCACTATTGCAAAACAGCATGGATGACGTCGTAATAGCGCGTCATATTACCATGGTTAAATTGACTTTTTCTTGTCTTATATGTAACATTTGGCATGATATTGATAGCTCTCTTTCCTTGACTTTTTTTTTTTTAATTGTGATTTGGGTGAAAGTTTACAGAGCAAATTCACTTTCCATACAGCAGTCTTTCCTTGCCTTTTGTGTCCTTAGCCATCATTGGCCTTTTACCACTTTGTAAGCTCCTCAGGGTTTTTCTTGGCCCTTCTCTATTCTTTGTGCTCTTACAGTAGACATCACCTTTTTAAGGTGACTCCGCGTCTGGAAATCTCCATCATAACGTTTCTTGAACAACAATCTATCTCCCCAACTAACAGCTTGCAGTCTTGCAGTTGTCTAAACGTATCTAAAATAAGACTGGGTTCCTACTTTATCCCTTTAGAAGAAAAAAATTGTCTCCTATTTCCAATATACCTTTTTTATTTTGGCTGCATTCCAAGTCTAAGAACATTGAGATCTCTTTTTAATATATAACTATGTCATGTCAAAGGGTCAAAGACAAGTTATTTATACAGATAAGAGTTTTAACATTTTAAAGGAACATCTGCTCTGTGTAAGTACAAGCTCAGGAAAGTTGTTCTGTTTTGAATGTAGCCAAGCTGCAAAGAACTTGATGTCTGTCCTTGTTAGAGAGAGACAGTGATCTTCTGGAGCAGTTTCTCCAAAGAACTGTATCTCCCTGGAAAATCTCTTTAAAAATATGTATGAAACCAACATCCCTTGTACATCTCACAACCCTGATAATGGTATTATAAGTTTTATAGTTTTGTTCTTCTGGTACACAGTTCTGTCATTTAGAGTCAATGATAAATAAGCCATTTATCGAGACTATTTCAACTTGTACTCTTTCTAGGAACATAATCCATCAAAAGAGATGCTGTGTAATAATTCAGTGTATCAGTTAGACATGTAGTAAATAATGACCTTTTATGAAATCACCAAATCACATTTATGTTCTATAGTACATTTATTATAGAAAGGCTTCCATAAAAAACAATGGTTGAAGGTGACCGATGTGCCGATGTTATAGTTTTCAACATCCTTGCTTGTCTAAATCATTGGTCCCAATACATTGTTTTTATGACCATTACCTATGACTATTGTGTGTGGTTTTCATTTAACCATAATGGTGTGTTTGTTAACTATGAGGGAATGACATAGCCTGGTGGGGCCAAACTTGAGGGCTCACAAAAATCCAGTGAGTCTCCCATCTCAGTCATGAGAAAAAACACTGGGCAAAGGAGAGGAATAAAACAAACCGTGAAATGGTGAAACGGTTCACCATTCATGTGACTCACTGCCATGGAACTGGATCCAACTCACAGTGACCCCTCCTTGGGTTTCTGAGGCGGTGTCACTAGGGAAGTAGATCGCCCAGTCTTCCTTCCAAGGAGGGGCTGGTGGGTTTGAACCGCCAGCCTTCTGGTTAGTAGTCAGGTGCCTTAGGCACTATGCCACCAGAGCTCCTACTATTCATGTACGATCCCTTTTTATTTCACATTAATTATAATGTACTTGTAGTGCCATGAAATACCCTGTAAAGCATTGTTTTTCTTCCTTGTTAATATTATTTGAGTTTATTTTATTTTGCCTAGGGAGGTTTATGGTTAGAATTGGAATTGGCAAGCTCTTCGGGTATAGTTTTCAGGATTGAAGTTACCAGGACAGAGGCTAGGGGTACAGGGTGATGATAAAGTTATCCCACCACAGCTAAATATAAGAGCCACTGCTAGGGGCTACCATGCCTCATCAAATAATTTGTCTGACCGATCTCTGATTTATATGCTAACAATCCCCCCCAGATCTTCAAAATTCAATTGTTTTGTCTAGGGAAGTTTCTTTCTTACATACATAAACACTCCTATTTTCTTTTAGAATCTTTTGAAGACTGTTGTTCAAAAAAGTCAAAAATACAATATATTTCAGTTGGAAAATCTGTATGCAGTAATCAGCCAGTGTGTCTATCAGCATCGCAGGGACTATGACAAAACAGCACTTATTCAGGTAAATGATAGATTTGTAACTGTTTCTATGCTGTAATTGTCACATAGTATATCATTGATTATGTAAGATTGCTGAGCCTTTTAAAGACCAGTTTTTACATGCAGATTATGAATTAGTAATAGGTACATGTGAGTTCTGTATTTTTTAAATCTAGCACTTCATTGGTCTGTGTCTTTAGTAAACATTGGAACTGTAATAGAAGCAGCCTGTGGAAAAGATGCTTGTTGTATGTGTGTATTAACAATAAAGATAGGTAGCTTCTTTAATAGACCTTTCAGATAGACCTACTTGCCTTTGCTTCAGCTTGCTGTATAGTGGGCATTAAAGTGCTAAATTTTAAAAACGGATACTGGCTTCATGATACTGATACTTACAAAACATAAAATCTTAAATCTAGTTAAGTGTACCAGTACCTTGACTATAACTATTTGAATTTAAATAATGCAGACCCATCAGCGATGGTAGTTCATGTGAGTCTTATAAATACTGAACTAAATTTTTATTCTAGCAATATGTGTATGAATATTAATATCCTTAAGGTAATTTACTGAAAAACAGGAATGAAGTAATGTTTCTTTAGCTTTTTCATGTTAAAACTTACTACCTTTCTTTCCTGCCTTTTATCTAGAAAATGGAGCAAGAAGTAAAAAACTTTAATTGTTCCAGATCCTGATGTCTTCATGGTATCTCATGTTCTTTCTGTTCAATTCCTATTTAATTTACTTTTGATGGAATCTTACATCTTTGTGGAAAAGATTAAAATGGTAAAATAAAAGTATTTAAGCTTTCCAGATATTTATGTACATGTGTAAGATACGTTACAGAGATAATTGACAAGTATCACAAGTTTGATTGAGCAAGGACAGCACTGTAGTAATATTAATGCTGTGGCTTATCAGTGGGTGGATTGTGGCCAGCTCTTAATAAAGTTGTTCGATAAGTTTTATGGCACTTAAGAGTAATTAGTGCTATTGAATTTTTTTTTTTTTGTAAGCACTTTTGATTTTATCCTTCCTAAAAGTAGTTAATGAATCAGACTGGGAGCTTACTTAGCCTTTGTGTCTTTGCCTTCTTCCCCATCATCTTTTAGTTTTTCTGTTTTGTTATTGCCTTTCTGCCATCTGCTTTATATTCCCCTAGTCATTCACTGAAGAGTCCATGTGCATGATTTGTGGGAGGTCCATTGAACATTTCTGGCTACCCCACAGTTCTGTAGGAACTCTGGTAGCGTATTGCTTAAGGCACATAACTGCTAACCAGAAGGCTGGCGGTTCAAACCTACCAGCCACTTCTCAGAAGGAAAGTTGGGCAATCTACTTCCATAGTGATACTGCCTCGGAAACCAAGGAGGGGTTGCTGTAAGTTGGGTCCGACTCAACGGCACATAACAACAACAACACAGTTCTGTACTTAAGCATCAGAATGAATCTTTTTTAGATAAACATTTTGTAATTCTAATTGGAATGAATAAAGATTTTTAATATTTTTCTGTTTACTTTTATGACTATATACCTAATAAATACATTAATAATAGCTACCTTGTTAAACACCTTTTTAGTAGCATAAAGTTTTGATATTTGAAAACTGCTTACATCCTCCTAAAATTGTATATAGGTTGTATCCTACAGATACCTTTTATATGCAATTGTATAAATATAAATATTATAAATTTTGTCTTAATGATACCAAAAGTACATTTCTTTTTTTAAAATAAAAGCATTCTCCATCATGCTTTTTTTATTTTATTTTATTTTTTAAGAGATATTCTAATATTAGTTTCTAAAATAGTTTCTATTGTTAGGAACCTTTTTCAAGGGCAATGGGGATGATAATCTAAGATGAGAGATTGAGAGATTCTGGGACTTTTTGGTACAATTTAGAATCAAGCCGCCTTTGTTCCCGATTATCTGGAAACTGTATTTAAAGCCTTCTGAAAACCAGTCATTCAGTATCAGCCTTAACTAGTGGATACCCTTGTGCATAATACAGCACAGTCATCACAAAGCATTGCTAGTCACTTAAGACTCTTAGATGCATGTATATTTCTTGGTATAAATCCTTACTTCTATTGAAGTTTTTATTATTATAACTTAATATTCTTACGGATGCATCTTTTATAACTAGGATCTCATTTTGTATGTATACCTTGTGTAATAAATTTTAAATATGAAAATTCCATCTTGATTTTGTTTCTGTTTCTTCAGTATTTGAAAGCATCCTAAAGATAGTTCTGTGATTACAGAAGTACTTTTATTACTATGCATTGCACACTAAAGGTGTTGACATTGGGGTGTTTATATGGTACATGATCTTTAGCTGTCCTTTCAAGACACACTGTCTACAGATTCAGGAAATGATAGACCCATACCCCTGTGTACACTTTCACAGCAGGCCTAGAATGTTCTCCTTAGCAGCACAGTCTGCTCTTCTCTTTTCTCTTTGGGTACTTTAGATCCCTCTATGGTACCAAGTAGGAGCTCTGGTAGCATAGTGCCTAAGGCACTTGACTGCTAACCAGAAGACTGGAGGTTCAAACCCACCAGCCACTCCTCGGAAAGAAGATGGGGCAATCTACTCCCGTAGTGGTACTGCCTCAGAAACCCAAGGAGGGGTCGCTATGAGTCGGGTCCGACTCGACGGCACATAACAACAACAACGTGCTACCAAGTGATGAAGCATTGATGGTTCTGTGTAGAATTCCCGCCTTCCGTGTGGGAGACTTGAGTGTGATTCCCAGTCTAGGGTCTGTTGAAGCATCCCTTGTAAGGCGAAGGAGAAGTTACTGCATCTAATCCCACCTCTTAACCAAGCAAGAGACACACTGCTTAATGGGCTTCTTTGGATGGAGGCAGATACTCCTCTAGCCTATTTTCTGAGTGACTCCAAAAGCTAGTTTTGAGTGGGGCCCAGAAGAACAGAAAATTCTACGATAGATCTGAGCTGCTGTGCAAGCTGTTCTGTCCCTTGGGCCTTATGATCCAACAGATCCAATGGTGCTTGAAGTATCAGTGGCAGAAAGATAACTGGAGTTTTTGACAGGCCCCTGTCAATGAATCACAGCAGGATTCTTAAGATTTTGGAGTAAAAATCTGCCATCCACTGCAGATAATGATGCTTTTGAAAAACATTTTTTGGCTGTTTTTTGACCAATGGGCCTTGGTAGAGACTGAATTATTAACCATGGGCCACAAAGTTACCACATAACCCAAGCTGCCCATCATGAACTGGGTGTTGTTTGACCCACCAAAACCAAATTCACTGCCTTGGAGTCAGATCCGACTCATAGAGACCTCTCCTTGGGTTTCCGAGGCAGTATCAGTACGGAAGTAGATTGCCCAGTCTTCCTTCCAAATAGTGGCTGCTTCTGGTTAGCAGTCAGATGCCTTAGGCACCATGCCACCAGAGCTCCCACTAAGCCATAAAGTTGGGTAGGCACTGCAGCACTCCATCAAATGGAAGTGGTATGTATAAGGTCAGCCCCTGCGGTGTAGTAAATTAACTAGTATGGCTTTTCTAGAAGTCTTTGTAAACTCCATGGTGCAATTTGCTGTGAGCTACTGAGGAGCTCCTGATTGTTAGTTATCCAGCTGGGGTATTTCTGTTGCTAGTGGCACAAAGCATTCTGGGAAGTCTCTCTCTCTCAGGTGTATAGAATTCTGATGTTGGGATTGGTTAGTTTGGCCACTCTGCCAGGCTCAAAAGGAGCCCTCCTGGAGACAGAAGGTGTCTCTCTGACTGCTGGCTGAGAAAGATGTGCTGCTGAGAGAAACACACTCCTGAAAGACACGCACTTGGAGAGAGGGATGCGAGAGACATGCACTGCTGAGAGACTGCTGGCTGCTAAGTGAGACGGCCGGCTGCAAGAGACTGAGTGCATTTCTGAACTTGAATTGTAGCCTGTTGCTTCCCTAATAAACCCCATAATCTGTGAGTTCTGTGTGGCCGCTGCAGCAAATTATTGAACTCAGCAGAGAGGTGGTGGTTGCTGGGGGAAGAACGGTTGGTGTCATGGTTGGTGAAAAGGCTGGAGGGAGACAGCATGTCTGGCCTCGCAGGAGTAGGCCTTGGGCTACTGATGATGATTCTGTCTTCCTCTTGTGGGGTTAGAGGAAGTCAAAAGATGCAGGCTTCCTGCCTCTTTGGCAGCCCCTAAGGCACACACAAGTTACGTGAGGATGTGCCCAATTACCCATAGTCCCCCCTCCTGCTACCTTGTCTTCCCTCTCTTAGGCTGCACCTATGGTCTCATGGGGAATTCTTTAACAATCTGAGGAAGGGAAAACTTGGGCCCGATTTACAGATGGTTCTGCATGATATGCAAGGACCACCTGAAAGGAGACAATTGCAGCACTACACCGTCTTTCTGAGACTTTAGTGGGATCAACTGAACAACGGTAGTGAAGGGCAATCTTCCCAGTGGGCATAACAGAGTAGGTATCCTTGGTCATATATGCTTGGAAGGAGAAATGGCCAGAAGTACAAGTGGATACTGGCTCATGGGCTGTGGCCAAGGTTGCACTGGATGGTCAGGGACCTGGAAGGAACATGATTGATTGGAAAGTTGGTGACCGAGAAGTCCAGGGAAAAGTATGTGACTAAACCTCTCTGAATGGGCAAAGAAGGTGAAGATGTTTCTATCTTATGTGAATGCACACAAAAGGGTGACCTCAGCAGATGACTTCAATAAACATGTGGATAGGATGATTTGTTTCCTGGATACAAATCAACCTCTTTCTTCAGCCACTCCTGTCATTGTCCGATGGGCTCATGAACAGAGTGGCCACAGTGGCAGGGATGGAGGTTATGCATGGACTCAGCATCATGGACTTCTGCTCACCAAGGCTGACCTGGCTACAGTCACTGCTGAGTGCCCAGTCTACTGGCAACAGAGACCAATACTAAGTCCCCAATATGGCAAATTCCCCAGGGTGATCAGCCTGCTACTTGATGGCAGGTTGATTACATTGGACCACTTCCATCATGGATGGGGTAACATTTTTTGTATAGATGCTTATTCTGGATGTGAATTTGCCTTTCTTGAATGCAATGCTTCTGCTATAGCTATAGTCCATGGATAAGAATGCCTTATCCACCATCATGGTATTCCACACAGCATTGCCTTGGATCAAGGAACTCACTTCACAACAAATGAAGTGCAGCAGTGGGCCCATACTCATGGAATTCACTGGTCTTTCCCTGCTCCCCATCATCCTGAAACAGCTGGCTTGATAGAGCAGTGAGCGTATATAAAATATCTTATTGTGACCTTGATTCCATTTGCCCAGTTACCAATGATTTTGAGCATCTCTAAGTTTATGGGTCATATGTAATTCCTCTGGAAATACTTGTTTATGTCTACATCATACCACTATTATATAGCATTGTAACAAGATTTAAATGTCTCCTCTAAGAATCTGTAAGCTTACTGGGGATAAGGACTGTCTTTGTATCCTTAGTAATCTAGTTTTAAAAAGAAACAAAACTCACTGCCATTGAGTCAATTCTGACTCATAGCTACCCCCATTAGGGTTCTGAGGCTGTAAAATCTGTACAGAAGTAGATCCCTATCTTCCTTCCGTGGACTGCCTGGGGGTTTGAACTGCTGACCTGGTTAGCAGCCAAGTGTCTTACCTGCTATGCCACCAGACCTCCTTTAGTAACCTAGTTAGGGGC